TACATGTATATAATGTATAATAAGTATGGACACTATACAGGAACACAATACATTAGTCATATTGGTGCGGTACATGTATATAATGTATAATAAGTATGGACACTGTAGAGGAAACAATACATTAGTCATACTGGTGCGGTACATGTATATAATGTATCATAAGCAAGGACACTGTACAGGAGACAATACATTAGTCATATTGGTGTGGTACATGTATATAATGTATCATAAGTAAGGACACTGTACAGGAGACAATACATTAGTCATACTGGTGCGGTACATGTATATAACGTATAATAAGTATGTACACTGTACAGGAAACAATACATTAGTCATACTGGTGCGGTACATGTATATAATGTATCATAAGTAAGGACACTGTACAGGAGACAATACATTAGTCATATTGGTGCGGTACATGTATATAATGTATAATAAGTATGGACACTGTACAGGAAACAATACATTAGTCATATTGGTGCGGTACATGTATATAATGTATTATAAGCATGGACACTGTACAGGAGACAATACATTAGTCATATTGGTGCGGTACATGTATATAATGTATAATAAGTATGGGTACTGTACAGGAGACATTACATTAGTCATACTGGTGCGGTACATGTATATAATGTATAATAAGTATGGGCACTGTACAGGAGACAATACATTAGTCATATTGGTGCGGTACATGTATATAATGTATTATAAGTATGGGCACTGTACAGGAGACATTACATTAGTCATATTGGTGTGGTACATGTATATAATGTATAATAAGCATTGATAAGTATGGACACTGTACAGGGAAACAATACATTAGTCATATTGGTGCGGTACATGTATATAATGTATCATAAGTATGGGTACTGTACAGGAAACAATACATTAGTCATATTGGTGCGGTACATGTATATAATGTATCATAAGTATGGGTACTGTACAGGAAACAATACATTAGTCATATTGGTGCGGTACATGTATATAATGTATCATAAGTATGGGTACTGTACAGGAAACAATACATTAGTCATATTGGTGCGGTACATGTATATAATGTATCATAAGTATGGGTACTGTACAGGAACACAATACATTAGTCATATTGGTGCGGTACATGTATATAATGTATAATAAGTATGGACACTGTACAGGGAAACAATACATTAGTCATATTGGTACGGTACATGTATATAATGTATTATAAGTATGGACACTGTACAGGGAAACAATGCATTACTCATATTGGTGCAGTACAAGTATATAATGTATTATAAGTATCGGTACTGTAGAGTAGACAATACGTTAGTCATATTGGTGGGGTACATGTATATAATGTATTATAAGTATGGGTACTGTACAGGAACACAATACATTAGTCATATTGGTGCGGTACATGTATATAATGTATCATAAGTATGGGTACTGTACAGGAACACAATACATTAGTCATATTGGTGCGGTACATGTATATAATGTATAATAAGTATGGACACTGTACAGGGAAACAATACATTAGTCATATTGGTACGGTACATGTATATAATGTATAATAAGTATGGACACTGTACAGGGAAACAATACATTAGTCATATTGGTGCGGTACATGTATATAATGTATAATAAGTATGGACACTGTACAGGGAAACAATGCATTAGTCATATTGGTGCGGTACAAGTATATAATGTATTATAAGTATCGGTACTGTAGAGGAGACAATACATTAGTCATATTGGTGGGGTACATGTATATAATGTATTATAAGCATGGACACTGTACAGGAGACAATACATTAGTCATATTGGTGCGGTACATGTATATAATGTATAATAAGTATGGACACTGTACAGGGAAACAATACATTAGTCATATTGGTGCGGTACATGTATATAATGTATTATAAGTATGGTTACTGTACAGGAGACAATACATTAGTCATATTGGTGCGGTACATGTATATAATGTATTATAAGTATGAGTACTGTACAGGAGACGATACATTAGTCATATTGGTGCGGTACATGTAAATGATATATTATAAGTATGGGTACTGTACATGAGACAATACATTAGTCATATTGGTGTGGTACATGTATATAATGTATAATAAGCATTGATAAGTATGGACACTGTACAGGGAAACAATACATTAGTCATATTGGTGCGGTACATGTATATAATGTATCATAAGTATGGGTACTGTACAGGAAACAATACATTAGTCATATTGGTGCGGTACATGTATATAATGTATCATAAGTATGGGTACTGTACAGGAAACAATACATTAGTCATATTGGTGCGGTACATGTATATAATGTATCATAAGTATGGGTACTGTACAGGAACACAATACATTAGTCATATTGGTGCGGTACATGTATATAATGTATAATAAGTATGGACACTGTACAGGGAAACAATACATTAGTCATATTGGTACGGTACATGTATATAATGTATTATAAGTATGGACACTGTACAGGGAAACAATGCATTAGTCATATTGGTGCAGTACAAGTATATAATGTTTTATAAGTATCGGTACTGTAGAGGAGACAATACGTTAGTCATATTGGTTGGGTACATGTATATAATGTATTATAAGTATGGGTACTGTACAGGAACACAATACATTAGTCATATTGGTGCGGTACATGTATATAATGTATAATAAGTATGGACAGTGTACAGGGAAACAATACATTAGTCATATTGGTACGGTACATGTATATAATGTATAATAAGTATGGGTACTGTACAGGAGACAATACATTAGTCATATTGGTGGGGTACATGTATATAATGTATTATAAGTATGGGTACTGTACAGGAAACAATACATTAGTCATATTGGTGCGGTACAGGTATATAATGTATCATAAGTATGGGTACTGTACAGGAACACAATACATTAGTCATATTGGTGCGGTACATGTATATAATGTATAATAAGTATGGACACTGTACAGGGAAACAATACATTAGTCATATTGGTACGGTACATGTATATAATGTATAATAAGTATGGACACTGTACAGGGAAACAATACATTAGTCATATTGGTGCGGTACATGTATATAATGTATAATAAGTATGGACACTGTACAGGGAAACAATGCATTAGTCATATTGGTGCGGTACAAGTATATAATGTATTATAAGTATCGGTACTGTAGAGGAGACAATACATTAGTCATATTGGTGGGGTACATGTATATAATGTATTATAAGCATGGACACTGTACAGGAGACAATACATTAGTCATATTGGTGCGGTACATGTATATAATGTATAATAAGTATGGACACTGTACAGGGAAACAATACATTAGTCATATTGGTGCGGTACATGTATATAATGTATTATAAGTATGGGTACTGTACAGGAAGACAATACATTAGTCATATTGGTGCGGTACATGTATATAATGTATTATAAGTATGGTTACTGTACAGGAGACAATACATTAGTCATATTGGTGCGGTACATGTATATAATGTATTATAAGTATGGGTACTGTACAGGAGACAATACATTAGTCATATTGGTGCGGTACATGTAAATGATATATTATAAGTATGGGTACTGTACAGGAGACATTACATTAGTCATACTGGTGCGGTACATGTTTATAATGTATTATAAGTATGGGCACTGTACAGGAGGCAATACATTAGTCATATTGGTGCGGTACATGTATATAATGTATTATAAGTATGGGTACTGTACAGGAGAGAATACATTAGTCATATTGGTGCGGGACATGTATATAATGTATTATAAGTATGGGTACTGTACAGGAGACATTACATTAGTCATATTGGTGCGGTACATGTATATAATGTATTATAAGTATGGGTACTGTACCGAAGACAATACATTAGTCATATTGGTGCGGTACATGTATATAATATATTATAAGTATGGGTGCTGTACAGGAGATAATGCATTAGTCATATTGGTGCGGTACATGTATATAATGAATAATAAGAATGGGTACTGTACAGGGAAACAATACATTAGTCATATTGGTGGGGTACATGTATATAATGTATAATAAGTATGGGTACTGTACAGGGAACAATACATTAGTAATATTGGTGGGGTACATGTATATAATGTATAATAAGTATGGGTACTGTACAGGGAAACAATTCATTAGTCATATTAGTGCGTTACAGCAGACATTATATTAGTTAAAAAGTCACACACCTTCGGAAACACTTCAAGTTATCCGATGTTCGACACAAACGACAATAATAAATATATAGCGAATGCACAGGGACCAAGCTTTTAGTTCGAGACAACCATAAGTTCGACATATCGAAGTTCGCCACAGCGGTGTTTGACTCTGTGTGTGTAATAATATACAGGGAGACAATACATTAGACATGTGTGTACAACACAGAAGACATTAATCACCTGGGAGCAGAAAAGAGATAAACTACATTATGGAAAAAAGGTTCATAACGAGAGCTTTGTGACACTAACAATGGGGCGAGTCGGCCGATTTGACGCCTGGTGGCGTGACCGCTCTATCAGTCCTTCCCTACTTCCGGCCGTGCTAAGTTCAACGAGTGCGCGTCGTCTGCTAGCTGTCAAACCGTTGCAATTTTATGTACAATTGCTGAGTATAATGAAAGGAATGCACATATGCTACCAGGACTGGCCCTTCTGTTCATCTGTCCGGAACTCCCAAAGGAGTTAGAACCTTGACCATAACATGCAAACTGATATTATCCCCACCCTGTAATCAACAGATACATTGTATACATTTGTTTGTTATGAAGAGAATTATACCTGTAATATATTTTTTTCTGGATCATAACATGGAAACGGTTAAGATCTTTATGCTACATTTGTATCAAGAGAAATACATGTTCATGCTGTTAGATTTGCCATCCACCCCTTTTAAATGCTGACAGATTCCAAATTATGAAATATTTGCAGTATTACATACATGTACAATGCAAATATATATTTTGTCATGATTGCGTAAATATACAGGTGAGCGATACAGGCCCTATGGGCCTCTTGTTAACAGACCGTCGTCATGTAGCTGGAATATTGCTGAGTGCTGCGTTAAGCAACAGAGGACATGTTTATTGTGTACATATTAAAATACCAAAATTTCAAATACATGTACTGTGAGTGTGATATTAAATTATTGATGACAAAAGAAAGTGTTAATTCTCTTTCATGTAAATGATGTATACCCTTGTAAATACTTTACCACAGCAACAAACTAGTCTCCCTTCTGACAAAAGATGGACATTTTTATCTATGCAAGCAATCCCACGATTGAATTTCTGAAGTTATTTATACTGAAACATATGAAGGCAATCCTTTCACCCATCAGAATTTTACTGTGTGGTAAGTCTCTTTTCAGCATTTTGAAGGTTTTACCCAGACCAATTTCACGTTCAATGTGAATTCGCTTTGATGCAATTCTCCTGTCATGAACAACTTCCTCTGGCTCGAGCTGAGATTTCCCCTTGAGCATGGTAGGTGTGTTCACATACACATCCTTGGTTGCAAATAAGTCCTGGACCATGATGCCTCTGTCGGCCATTATACTGTCTTTCCTTTGGAAAAATGAGGAAGTGTCAGAACACAACTTGCTTCTCTCAATGATTTGGCGGTCACTAGCTGATCCCCCATAGCTTCTGCTAATGTAAGATACCACACCATGCGGCGTACAACCAATCATGGTTTTAAGTGTGTTCTTATTTTTGTAAGTTGAAAAGATGGCACTCTGGGCATTTACATTTGATGGCTTCTGGATAGGAATTTCTGTTGCATCAAGTATGACCCTTGTGGATGGAAATTGCTTGTTAAAATTTTCTGGCATGGTATGACGTATAACTTCCTTTGAGGGCCATGTGTTTACCTCTTGTAGCTGGAAATATAGAAAGTTCATCCAGGTGTTGACAATCTGACCTACAACAGACCGACTGACTTCAAACATAATAGCAAGCTCCATGTCATCTTTTCCTTGTCTCAACTTCATTAAAGTCATGAACAGCTGGTTTTTGGGAGATAAGACACTACATTTGTAGTCTAATTTTTCAACAGCTGGTCCCAGGATATTGAAAAATAGAATGAAATGATCACAACTGTCAAAACTTGTGTAGTACTGAACAGCTCTTGGTTTGAACATGAATTTTTCAATAGAATACCTGTCCGAAGACAATTTACATTGAACAGTGTGGTCTGCAGGCGGTAACCGAGAACTATCCGGATCAGATGGCGTTTCAGGCTTTGACGTTTCTATGGACTCCACAGTTACCTCGTTCCCTATGTCATTCAAATTCATGTCAACCTCGTCCAAGCTTTTTCTAGGTCCACGTGTCCTCCTTCTCTTCGCAGATGGACTGCTCTCCGGTCTAAAACCAAATACAGATGGCACAGCTCCCTTTTTGAGATTTTTTTTCTCACCTGAAAAAGGATTGAATGTTTAGTACAGGATTGAAATTTGATAAGCAACACTTAAGAGTAATACTGGCAGGAGTTTTAATGGGGCAATACAACAACAAAAATATGCACATGCATGTTATTTATTTATCCTAAAGACAAATCTCAAAACTCAATCTTAATTTATGAAAGCAATGATAAATCAATGATACAGCCATGCTTGTTAAAATTTAAAGAATCTAAAAAAGGATTTCCGATAGATCTAACATGATTAGCTAGCCTAACAACCAAAATAAAAATTAATTATTTTTTATATATAATTTTGTTCATGTTCTTTCCTTTTTGCCATTTTATGAGAAAACAAGGGCTGGGATAGGTAACTAAGGTACACGGGTCAGGTGAGTGCTGAGTAGAGCCCCATGGTTAGTCATGTGATATATCGTTTCATGACATAACAATGAAAGGGTAAGACTCCTGCCCCCTTAAAAAAATATAATTAAAACGCAGGGATGTGAGTCAGTGTTCCCCCCAAAAGAGGAAAAGTCTAGGGGGGTCTGGGGTCATGTTATTGTGTTTTATACATTTTATTGCATTTTAAGCAATTTCGTGCAGTTTGGACAACATTCACACCAAGAAATGTCAAATAAAGATGGCAGATGCAGTAGAATTTTTAAGTTAAATCAATACTTTTAAAAAATCGGGCATGGCTTCCGCGCACCCGGCTACCCGCCGGGTCTGGGAGTAAAACTGCCATAAACTTTACCCCCCATCCCACAACCACAAGGACAACTGTCGCAAGCGTGCAATGTCTGACCCGTTCCCCATGTTGAAGCACATTGAAAAACTTACCTTGTACTTACCTTTTGTTGAAAAGAAACAAACAAGGTTGCAATAAACAATACACAAGACATTAATACAATATTAATACAACATATACGCCCTATCCCCGTGGCATAATAAAGGCATATATGATGCTGAAAGCTCTGATCGAAAACAGGACAATCCGCGACGGTTGTCCGGAAACACGATAATTTTTTGGGAGTATTGTTTTTAAATTTTGAATATATTTTTTTACGGGGAAGATGATTTTTCCGCGGATTTTCCGCGGAGATTTCACATCCCTGCAAATGATTGAGCGGAAACGCATACATATCAGCTGCATATAGGCCCCTATAACTTTGTAGGGGGGATACGGGCTAAGTCTTTCCATTTTAAAAAAGCAAATGTCATTCGTTTTTACCTATTTCATACATTATGAAAATCATCTTGGCTAGCAGCAAAAACTATTTCTTAAAATTACACAGAAACGACAGAATAATCATACACACCTAGCAATGTTGAGTGCTCTACATAGTCCTCCGTCCGAAAATGCTTCCGACAAACGATGTCATACTTTCCCGGCTCCCACACTTTCTTTGACACTTCGTCGATGCGTTTAATCGCGATCCTCCATTTCATCCTGTCATCTGGGTCTCGGGGGAAAATGTGTCCTCAAGTTCTTGAATTGCAGCCAGGTACACAACAATACCGAGGCATGTTTAATTGGAACAATGGGGTCACCGCCTTCAGACTCGGTACCTTCAGACTCGGCTGAGTGACCATAAACCGGAAGTGCCGACTGTAGGACCGTCGGAGCACGCGCGCCCCCTATGGGGAAGATAATTGAGCAACACGCCCCATTCACAATACATTAGTCAAAAATTGCAGTACAGGAGACGATACACTTAAGTTTGTCATATTGGAGCTGTATAGGGAGAACAAACATGTGATAGGAGAGGCTAAATAATAGACATTAACAACTCGCCAGCTCACAAAGATAAGTGGATGAGATGACAGTGAGGAGGGTATTGCAGTTCTTGTTGCACTGGATGACACCGAGCCCCTGCAACCAGCATGCGTGACACATATTGAGGACTTTGTGCACAGAAGCAGTAGGTATCTAGGATTGGTTACCATGTCCTGACTGCCCAATAAGTTGATAGGGGACGTGAACCTGTGGCAGTAGCCAATCCAATCTTCTAAGGGTTTTCATCAAAATGTTATTTCATGTTACACGTCCAAAGTTAGCACTAAGGGGAAAGGCTTTTTTTTCAAGTTGACGATTTTATTTTCTTGATTTTTTTGCTTTGGAATTTCCTTAAATCTTTAATCTGTGAGGATGGCTTCAAGCCAGGAAACAAAGGAATGTTAGATCAAAGGATAGACTGAGCTAGATTTCACGTCTTGTGGCAGTGACGCCATGGATATACCGGGTTAAAATGCATGTTGGTTGTAAGAGGCGACTTAAATAACGTGCAGTAGGTGCAAGCTCGCTGACCTGGTTGGTGGCATTTCATCGTACCACGACTGCTCATAATATCAATCACTGGATTGTCTGGTCCATGCTGGGTTATTTACAGACATCGTCATATAGCGGGCAAATGCTGAGCAGGGCGTTAAACAAGAAATAGTCAGAAAGACTTGACTTATGTCTTGCGATGGTCCATGTTCTGCTGAATGTACTTGCCCATTTTGTTGACGTCTGAAAATACCTACAAAGCACACACCACCAATTTAATGGAACATGAATCTACAAATACGAAATATTTGAAAAATTATGTTCTAAAATAATGGAATTTCTTTTTTATTAAAGCCCTCACTGTTAATCGGTCACGGTTCGCTACATGGTGATTCAAGGGTAGAAAATAATAGTATTTCTGATCTGACGTTACATGGAACAAATCTCCATGGGTTTTACTCCTGCTATGTGATAGCATCAAAACACACAGCTAACTCCTTCAAACGATATCTGCTGGTCAGTGTCATTTATGGAGAATGGCACCCGATTTAACTGATTGAACTTGGGAATAACAATTTAACCAACGAGCCGCCTCGTTTCCACATAGCCTGCAGACTACGGTAGTCATCGGAATTGTTCCAAGGGCAAAAGAGGCGGTGGGGCGGTTCCATTCCCCAATTCAACCAATCCATTTTTAACGGTCCCTGTGGTAGCCCAGTGGTTAAAGCGTTCGCTCGTCACGCCGAAGGCCCGGATACGTTTGGACACATGGTTACAATGTGTGAAGCTCATTTCTGGTGTCCAACGGCTTGATATTGCAGGAATGTTGCTAAAACGGTGTAAAACCATAGTAACTCACTCCATAGCTTGTACACAGGAGTATTTAAACACGAGATAGTCCACGTAATATCAACACAAAAACGGACACATTCTTCTGGAACCATTATTCATAACCCTCACCAATGCCAGGCACTGGCAGCCCTTCGGTCTAACACCTGCCTCAAAGAAGGGTCGGTTCGAATCCAAGATGCTCCCTGCCTACGAATTGCAGCCGTGCTCGTGGTTTTCACCAACATGATAATCGTCTGACAAGCCATGATATAACTGACATGTTGTGCAAGCGGCATAAAACACTGCTCACTCTTTCGAAACATACCAGTTCCGTCACTTCCTTATACTCCTTGAGTTACACATTGTGAAGAAGGGTAAAAATTGGCATTTGGAAAATGGCTTAATTTATATTGAAGTATTTTTTCGTGAAAAGATTATCAGTCAAGTTTTATCACGTTGTAACTGTTGATACCTTCTCATTGATTTGTTATCGTGTTGCCAAGAAAGCGGTAAACATACTCAATAGCAAGTATTTTTTTGGACGATTTCAGTCTGGCGAGAAAGGGGTGTTGAATACAGATATTCAAATTTGAAAGGATTTTTGACGACTTCGAAATTGTGAAATAATACTAATAATCTTAAACACATGATAGAAAGATCGGCGGGGTGTGATAGTACGTAGATGGCTGCACACTCACTCATACAAACTTTATACTTATTGACAAAAGTCCCCCCATATAAATGAGACAGTCCATAAAACCATATAAAAAGGGCGGACCTCCCTCTGAAAGTGTTGAAAAGGGAAAGACAGGAGGACAAGTGGAATGATGTAGGTCTTCATGTACCACTTTGGGGCGCTGAAAAACCAGTAATCTCAATAATGGCCCATTGTTGGATTCGAACCTGGATCAATTGATCATGGTAAGCCTGAGAGACACAATTCTAGAAAGCTTATTTCTGCGTCTTTAACGATTGGGACACCCGTACCCCCAAATTCGTGGAAAAAATGTCATTTATGGAACACTGCAGTAACCCATGTAGGACAATGTAAGCTTCACACCACAAATTCAGGGCGGCTTGCATGCAACGTTTGTGATGTTGGTTTAAATATCAGCACTGCACATTGAACCCGTGAAGACGGTCTCTGTGATGTCATAATACCTAGACAGAGAGATGTGTTCATATTATCAACCACTGGTTTACTTGTCCCAGGTTCGATTATGTACTGGCCGCTGTGATGTATGTAGCTGGAATATTGCTGATTGTGGATTTATACAAAAATCACTCTGTCAATATAGCATTTTCAGAATTCAACATGATATACAAATTGCTTGCCTAAAGCAACATAATACCCTTTCATTCATGGACAATATGTTAAAACCAGATTCATATACAGACAGGTCATAAATATCTACGATATTATAACATATGTTTTTGGCAGTGTTATTCATCAATACTGCATTCGATTTAAATCGTTTACGTATACGAGGGAGACATATCGTCACCGAGACATTCCTTGATAATTCAAACCTGTTCTGTACGTGTTGCCCAGTAGGTTTGACTGCATCAATGGGGTTTTACGTCGCTTTTAGAACGCTTCAAACATGAGTCTCCCGTCTTTGTCATTTCAACTGTGTTTACGTTTGTGTGTTTGTTTGTTTGTTTGTTTGTTTGTTGTTTAACGCCGCACTCAGCAATATTCCAGCTATATGACGGTGGTATGTGTATAATCGAGTCTAGGCCAGACAATCCAGTGATTAATATCATGAGCATCGATCAAAGCAACTGGGATCGATGACATGTATCAACCAAGTCAGCGAGCGTGCCCACCCGATCCCGTTAGTCGCCTTTTACGGCAAGTATGGGTTTCTGAAGACCTATTCTCGCCGGATCTTTAAGGTTCTGTGTTTACTTATATACCCGTAGATACATACACTTATACCCGTAGATACATACGTGACTGGCGTTAAAATGTAGTAATCGGACGTCGCACAAATGAAGATGTCGTTAAAATGATCGCAAAGTAATTGTAACCGAAGTACTTGCCAAATGTTAGGCAGTATTGCATCGTCACCTTGACTTTGTTGTTCACACTATCGACCACCCATTTACTTGTTTGAGGATTTTGGGTTCCTGGCAATCCAAATTACCCGATTTCATAACATTAATGTCCTTTATTTATACAGTTTCACCACTGTCCTCCACAAAATCCGTCGACAAGCATGTAAGTATACATGTATATAACTAGAGCTGTTTATCCGGCAAAATGCTGAAATTGTACGTTTCAATAGGGTTCCACTATATCTTGGCCGGATCGGTTTACTGATGATTATCTTTTGTGAAAGCACTTTATATACCCCTCACTAGATAGTTTATCAAACATTTCTGTAATGAATATCAGGCTCTAATTTTGTAATGGTCTTGAAGAATACGCGAATTTCCCGTTCGTCATGGATGAATATAGGTGGGGATTCCTTGAAAGACTAGATCCCAAGTATCCCACGCTTGTTATAAAGGCCAATTAAAGAGAGCAGTCTGCTCTGTGACTGGGCTGACCTCGTGTCTTCGCATCCTGATGGTGTGGATCGTTGCTCATGATTTCAGTCACTGGTTTGACTGATCCAGACTCGTTTATGTGGAGGCTGCCGTAAGGTAGCTGGAACATTGCTGACTGTTGTGTTGGAGAAACATCCACTCTGTCGGCTTCACACGTAGTGGATGTATGCTCAATGATTTTATATTGACAGGTATTGTGTCTGTTTTTAACGCTACCTCCTAACTGAATCTTCTCCTACCTTCAGGTAACATCTTCACACGGACCTGGACTTAGTGGCGAGCATGGGAGTGTACACCAAATGTTGACTTCCAATTGGTTTGTTTAGATGTAACAAGAAATGAAAAATATTCTTAAATACATATGTTGGTATGAAATGAATGCAACTGTAATAGATGTATGCTCAATGATTTTATATTGACAGGTATTGTGTCTGTTTTGAACGCTACCTCCTAACTGAATCTTCTCCTACCTTCAGGTAACATCTTAACACGGACCTGGACTTAGTGGCGAGCATGGGAGTGTACACCAAATGTTGACTTCCAATTGGTTTGTTAGTTGTTAAGCGAAATGAATATAGTACTTTTAGATAACACTATTGACGTGGTATGAAATGAATGCCTTAGGGTAAACTATACATAATAGTTAATTCATTGCTCATAAGTGAGTGAGTTGTGGTTATACCGCTTCTAAGATAATAAAACTATCGATAATTCTTCCCTATTGGCATATTTGTATTGTATATCTTGACCATAATGTGGCAGAATTTACCGTTGAGAGTTTACAAAGTTCACTGTCGAAGATCCTGCAACGT